GCGGCACCGATAGTAGTGGTAAAAAAGAAGTCAGGGGAGATAAGACTGTGTTGTGATTACCGGAAATTGAACAATATCACAAGAAGGGATGCATTCCCCTTGCCTCGTATTGATGAATGTCTTGATGCGTTGGGGGGAGCAAGATTTTTTTCTACCTTGGATTTGGCTAGCGGCTACCACCAAGTGGCCATGCACCCCAACGATCAACATAAGACGGCATTTATCTCTCCACTGGGACTGTACGAGTGGACCCGTATGCCGTTTGGTCTAACTAATGCACCTGCTACATTCCAGCGAGTAATGCAGAGTGCTATGAGTGACTTTCTATTTCAAATAATGTTGGTGTATTTGGATGATATTCTAGTTTACTCAAAAACTTGGGAGGACCATCTAAAAAGATTAGAACAAGTGTTTCTCCGTCTTAGGGAGATAGGAGTAAAGCTGAACCCAGACAAATGCTGCTTTGGTCTGAAATCGGTACATTTTTTGGGTTATGTGATTTCGTCGGATGGCATCGCCACTGACCCAGATAAAATTGCAGCTGTTAAAGAATGGAAACAGCCAACAACTACAGTAGAGGTCAGATCATTCTTGGGCTTTGCTTCCTATTATAGAAAATTTGTGCCTGGTTTTGCAAAAATTGCCGCACCATTGCATGACTTGGTAAACAAAATGACAAAGAAACACAGTAAGGAGAAAAAGAAAGGTAAAACACAACTGATAGGTGAATTATGGACTGATGAATGCCTGAACTCGTTTAAGCTCTTGAAAAAGGCTTTGACAGAGGCGCCGATATTGGGATACGCGGACTTTGACAAACCATTTCGGTTAGAAATCGACGCCAGCTCTAAAGGTCTGGGAGCTGTGCTATCACAACAACAAAAGCAAGGTTTCAGGGTTATTGCGTATGCCAGTCGAGCTCTGAAGGGATCAGAGAGGAACATGACAAATTACAGCGCCATGAAACTAGAACTTTTGACATTAAAATGGGCTGTGACTGAGAAATTCAGGGACTATCTATTAGGTGCTAAATGTGTGGTATACACTGACAATAACCCCTTGAGTCACCTAAAGACAGCAAAGTTGGGATCCATCGAACAGCGATGGGCAGCAGAATTGGCACTCTTTGACCTGGAGATAAAATATCGCCCGGGGCGGTCCAATGGCAATGCGGACGCCTTATCAAGGAATCCTTACGAGAGACCGGGTGATGAGGAAGAAACGCTGACAGGAATATGTGAGGTCAGAGCGTCAACAGATATCCCTCATGGGGTACAAGTGATGCAAAACGGGCAGACCGGGGTGGAGCACATATCCACAGAGCCCGAACATATGGACAGTAGTGATTTTAATTGCCTTAATCACAAAAAGATAAGAGATGCCCAGAGAACGGATAGTGGCTTACAACCGCTATTGAAATACGTCCAGGAACAAAAATTCCCAGGAAGAAGGGAAAGAGAACAATTTGGTCGAGAAACAAAGAAAATACTGAGTCAGTGGGACCGTCTCAGTATAGAGGATGGTGTTCTCATGCGGAGAATTCATGACCAAATTGATGGGACAATACACCAGGTGGTGGTGCCTGGACAATTACGAGAAGAAGTGCTAAGGTTGGCACATGACAGGGCAGGACACCAGGGTCAGGACAGGACGCACAAAATATTACGACGGAGGTGTTACTGGCCCAATATGGAAATGGAGGTCAAACGCCATTGTGAGGCTTGTGTGAGGTGTCAGCATGCGAAAATGCCAGTTGTCAAAATGAGACAGCCATCAGGACACCTACTAGCGACAAAACCACTAGAGATTGTGGCTATGGACTTTACGTCGTTGGAGCAATCATCGGATGGGACGGAACATGTGTTGGTAATGACTGATGTATTCACCAAATGGACGGTGGCGGTGCCCACGCGAGATCAGACTGCCAAAACAGTGGCAAAGGTCTTAATAGAACATTGGTTCATCAAATATGGCATACCAAGACAATTACACTCTGACCAAGGAAGGGCTTTCGAGTCAGAAGTAATTAACCAACTGTGCAGCCACTACGGGATCAACAAATCTAGAACAACCACATTTAATCCGAAAGGAAACGGACAGTGTGAACGGTTCAACCGCAGCATGCATGATTTGCTGCGTACGCTAGAACCTGAACAGAAAAAACGTTGGCCTGATTTTCTCCCAGAGTTGGTATATCTATACAACTGCACACCCCATGCCACAACCGGCTTTTCGCCATACATGTTGCTGTTCGGACGAGAGGCTCGACTCCCTCTTGATTTGTTCCTAGGAAAAAGGGAGAGTATGACTGGCTCATACACTGCACTGGAATATGTGAATGAACATATGAGACGAATTAGAGAAATGTACAGGGTAGTACAGGAAAGACTAGAACATGAAGCACGGCGAAGGGAACCGCCGGTACAGACAAAGGACCCGCCACTCAAACTGAATGACAGGGTATTACTGCGTAGCCACCCGTTAGGCAGAAACAAAATCCACGATCTCTGGGGACAGGAGATATGGCAAGTCGTGGAGATGCCTAAAGTAGCAGGTGGCCCCTTTAAGATAAGACCCATCGATCACGCCAAACCGGATCGGTGGGCGAATATTGCTCAATTAAAGAAATATTGGAATAGGCAAGAAGAGCAGTTACACACAAGGAAATCTAAGACAATTAGGGAACCGGAAACTATAACGGAAATTCACATACCCATCCCGGAACCATATCACCATCAACAGAACAACCGCGATACACAAGTGGAGGATAACGGCAACAAAGAGGATCCCGTTCCTTCCAGAAGCAGAGAGACAGTAGACCATCAGATAAGTGGTCCGCGGAGAAGTTTGAGGAACAGAAGGAAGACGAAATTTTTTGTCAGCAACCATCAAGTCTTTCATGGTCGCGCTGGTATGAGAACAGACGGTTCAAAGGGCTATAAAAGTGAACTGGTGAAGGCACCAAACGAAAAGGGTGGATGTGAATTCTAGAACTGTTTTGTGTCTCAGGAAGATGAGGTAGACACAGTTGATATGTGAAATGGGTATAACTGTCAATCGTATATGAATGGGACGCCGTGGACAGTGAGTGGAACAATAAAAAATTTTTTTTACGATTGTGCGATTGACTTTGGAGGAGTGCACCTGCCAGGCGTTGTTTGTGGTTGAAAACACACAAAAAAGGCAGGGGTGGATGTAACTAGGGTAGGCCTAGCTACTAGTTACAAATTTGATAACGAACGATAAGCCGAGACGCAGTATTACAGTCTGATGCAACCGATAGCAGGTGGCTTATTGGATCGGGCTGATAACAATCTCAAAGCCAACGCGTGCTATTTTGGGAAACGGTACGAGGGGATTCAGACGGCCTGTCAACTTTGATTGATAGGATGCAGATGTTTATTACACGGACTGTACGTTAGAACTGCGCAACTAGTGGTCGGAGACATCGAGTACAAGTATCGATTACGGAGGAATACAAGTACAAAGACAAGTACGAATACAAGGGATAAATAGGAGGGGACGGCTGAACTCGTTCTCTTCCCTCTTCATCGCTCGCTTTAGATCAGTCAGTCTGTGTGACATATCAAGTTGGTTACATTGTGTTAAGAAGGACAATAGACATGTGGATTCAGTTATATGAAGCCTAGTGAGGACTGTTAGGGGTCAGTTGATTCAGACTATTATTGTGAAACATTCCTGTTGATTCATTGTGTTATATTGAAGCATTTCTTGATTCATGTAATAAAAGGATCAATAGCGAACCTGCATCTTCGAGTCTTTCTACTGTAGTCGATGTTGTGTAGCATGAGTGGTTCAACTCGTTACAATTGGCGTTGTCGGGCAGGATAGACTCGGGGAAGGTCACATATATAAAATATGTATGCACAATTTTGGAGTCTATAAACCATAAGCTAATGCCAAACTTCTCACTTTCTCATAACAGATGTTTATTTATCCCACGTTTTAACCCAATGTTCTTAATTATTTTTTTCCTAAGACATTAAATAATTACTAAATAAAATTATTCACATGCCCGAAAATTAGGACAAAGTTGTTTTAAATGTTTGTTAATGACCAATGTGTAACATCGTAGAATAAATCTGTCGATTTGTTATTGTAAAAGACACCACACACACTGGGGTCACGTGATTCTTTCTTTGTGTGACGATGTGTGAAGTATTGATGTGGGAGATGGTTTTTTTTTATAAACGACGTTCTGCCTTTTATTTTTTAAAAACATCTTTGATGAAAAGCATGTAAAAGAAGAAATACGATGCATTGTTGACGGGGTGGGGGGAGGGGGGACGACGACATAAAAGTGGGGGGGGGGGGGGCAATGCCCGAGGAAAACGGTTCGGTTGAGAATCGTAAGCTATATGTTAATCCATGTATGGGGTGAGGGGGGGGGGTAAAAAAATAAATATATCCAGCAGAAAAAAAGATATATTTGAATAGGCCTACATATACACATGCGTAGGCCTATGCCTATACACATACTAAAAAGTGAATATATATATATATATATATATATATATATATATAGGCATATATATATATAGGCATATATATATATATATATATATTGATATATATATATAAATATACATATATAGGCCTATATATATATATATAGTATTTCTTACAGGGGGTGATACCCTCAGGTGCCGCACCGGGTGACACCCAACCTTGCTACTCCACTGTCTCAGAACATTTTGTTGTTTTGATTAATTTTTCACTCAGGTTTGTTAAAGAGTCAGTATTTATTTACTGATACTCCCGAATTATACTTAATGTATAATTAACTAAATGTATTTAGTGCTTTATAATTTAAAAAAAAACATCATCTACAATATTTTTGTTATTTTATTAGAAATAAAGTTTCCAACAATAAATATATTCAAAAATATTAGCAAAATATTTACAAAACTATCACACATTAAATCACTCAGCATAAAAACAGCAATAACAACAAAAACAATACATTTTTAAAATTATTATTTGTGCAAAAATCACAATTTACATTACGGTAAATGGCACTGATACAACCCCATATCAAACTTTAATATAATATCCTTATTGAAATTACACATAATACAAAACATATAAATACATAAATACAAAAAAAAACATTTTCACATCAGCAGATGAAGTAGAGTTCATGTGTTTTATAGACCTTGGCATACAAAGGGATAGTGTAGTCAGCACTATGCCCAACTGCCTTTATGTTCCCTAATGTGAGTTAAGTACCCATCAGAGTTGTGTGGACTCAGGAACATTCTATTGATGAACCAGGATTCAAACTCAAGACTTTCAGGTTAGACGTCTAGCAAGTATACCGCTAGGTCATGCTGTCCCATACAAAAAACATTGTTTACATTTCTTTTGGACCTAAATTTTATGTGTACTATTCACTTGTTCTATGTAAACCCTATGTATGTTTTTATACTGCTAATGATTTCAGTGAAACAGGAGCTTCAAATGTAAATTTAACCAAGAAATGTTGCAGTAGGTTGGCTGTGCTTGTGTGGGCAGTCAAGGTCTTAGAGACTTAGCTCAGGGTCCTGGTAGAATGGAGTTCAAGCTGGTCGTAATTGGTGAGCTTAAGGTCACCAGATAACTTGTGTAGGTCAGCTCTTTTATTGTGTGAGTCTAACACAGGCTGAGACTGGTCAGTAGGTTGTAGGCCTACCTGTTGGGCATTGGTGAGCTGGGTGTCAGTGCTGACCATTTGCTGCGAATTTCCTGTGTTTGATGACGTCACAGTGTCCACTGGTTCTGCTGACCTGCCAGCACTCATCTTTACAGAATTATTTTTTTGTTTCTCACTGGAGAGAATCTGCTTGAAGTAAGAAAGGTAACTCTTGAAATAACCAGGCCAGATAGAATTTAATGAATTCCCTCCCTTTGAACAGTTTTTATCTTCCTCCATAGATTTGTGCACATCAATGAAACTCCTCTCTGCCTTCCCAGCTTTCATTAATTTGATTTGTTTAACAAATTCATCAAAAGCTTCATGTACACCAGCATTGGTGGTTACTGAACACGGCAACACAAATATTGCTGGAAGTAAAACGATAAAGTAAATAAGTTACCCATGAATCTTTTAAAACTAATTTATACATATCAAATCAATCGTCACTCACAACACAGCATATGGCATTTTTAAAAATAGACTTTGGTTCATTTGATTTGTTTGTATTGGAAAAAAAAAGACTAGAGTAAATGTTGTGAGACTTGATTGTATTCCAAAAAACGCAAATAAAACACTTTGTGTAACCAGTTGGAACAGCGTATCAGATGTGTATCAGAATGCCTTTAAGACCCCATGTATCACACAGCTGTCACAAAATTATCACACAGCAAATATACAGCTGTCACACAGCTATGACACATTACACAACAAGTGTTCTACTTTTAATGTTAAAGTAAGTAAAAAGTTTTGGCTAGATTTTTTTTCTCAGTCCCTGATTTTTATTCTTTTAGCTAATTGAAAAGTACATTTAAAACAAACTCATTCACAAATTAAACAAATAATAAGTAGCCTACAGTTCCAATGTGTTAAAGGAAATGATTTATTTCATTTTTGCAAAATCAATAGCTAATTATCTACTTTATGGTAGTTAACAGGAAAAAAATTCTTTAGAGGTTAAAAAAAAAAATATCTATAGCCAACTCATACCCGACAAAATTAACAAAACTAAAACAAAACCACCCAAACTAAAACAAAACCACCCAAACTAAAACAAAACCACCCAAACTAAAACAAAACCACCCAAACTAAAACAAAACCACCTGAACTAAAGCCTAGACTTATTCAGTGACAATTAAATAAAAGCTTACTCTGTCTGCAACGAGGACATTTTTCCTTCAGCCGATCTTCAATTTCCTGTGAGGAAAGTGCATTGGGTAGATCTTGTTTGTTGGCCAGAACCATGACCACAGTGTCATTCAAATCATCTGGCTGCTGCAATTCAGGATTTTTTAAAAATAATGACAAAGTATTTATCTCAGCGCCCATAAAAAAAACATTTCCCCCCACACAATACAAAAACTTTCATTCACACAATATAAAAATTTTTTTTCTTACAGTTAAGACATTCTGCATTAGCTCGTCTATAGCATCATCTAATCTTTCTCTGTCCTTGCTGTCAATCATGTAGATGACAGCATCTGTGTTGGCGTAGTAATGACGATAGAGGGGACGCTGAAAAAATGTTAAAAGCTCCGGATAATAAACTTAATATGTTTTTAGTTTGTTTAACCAATGTGTTTTTTTTAATAATAATTTACACAAGTATTGCAACTAACAGCATTTAATTAAAATGTAAAATATAAAAAGTTTATAACAAAAATTATTTTGAATGATCATTAAAATTAGCATTAATAAGCTATTAATTTAAAAATGTAGATAAAGTTCCATTGTTGGTAAAGCAAAGGTTATATGAGGGAGTGTAAATGTATGGTTAGTTTTCTGTTGGGTGAAATGTCAACATTTTTATCATTTAGCTTAATAGCAAATTAGTGAATGTATTCTTATAATAAGACAACAATTTTATTTTAATTAAAAATTGATTCTCTGGCCAAAGAAAACAACTTTTTTTTTTCAATTTCCAAAAAAAAGTTGATTACAGTGAACGCTTCACTATGATAAGCAATGGACAGAAAATATTTGATCACACACTATTTTATCTCTGCCACCCAGGTCCCATGCTACAAGTGAAACTCCTCTCCAGTTGAGTGTCTCCACATTAAAACCTAGATGATAAAATAATTGTCTGATAAATTGAGATATTGTTATAAAAATAATAACACCAACAGCTGATTGTAACAATTTAAATTGCATAACAAAAACTATAAACTTCTGATTCTTAAATTCCATAAATTTTTTTAATAAATATTCAATTAAAACTTTTTAGGAACATTAGGCCTCGATAAAATAAAAGTAATATATAAGGATTATAAATTAATAATTTTTAATAATTTTTAGCTTGTCATAAAAAATACTGACCAATTGTGGGTATTGTTGTAACAACCTCTCCAAGCTTTAGCTTGTACAACAGCGAAGTCTTGCCTGCAGCGTCCAGACCTGGTAATATTAGAGCTTTATTTAAAACATTGGCAGTTTACAATAATACATAGCTATAAAACAATAGTATATATTATATATAGGCCTATACTATATAATAAAGATTCGTAGTGTTGTGTCCAGATTTTGTGAAAATTTAGGAAAGTTACAATATATGGAGTTTTACAGTTAAATTGATTAAATAAGATTTGCTTATTTTTCTAAGAAAGTACAAAATGATTTACTTACCCTGAATAAGTATTCTTCTATTATTGTCTTTGCTAAAGCTAAACAATGCGCCCATTTTTTTTTTTTGTTGTTGTTTTAAAATCTTGTAGATCCTAGTCTAAATGTTAATACTAATTTGGGTATTTAATTCAAAATAATAGGCCTAATTAATTATTATTAATAATACAATAGGCACTCTATAGGAGTTTTACTTTAATCTTTATTATTTAATAGTAAATACTGTAGTATCGTAGGCCTACTGTTTTTTGTTTTTACTATTATTACTATTAGTATTAATTATAAATAAGAGTCGTATTATCGTAGTACTAGCTCTAGATTTTGCTCCCTGATCTAGAGACTTTAATCTTTATATAGGGCATTTTGCTGTAAGCTGATTGTATGAACGTTCTTGGTCCACTTCCACGCAGTTTCCAACAGTGTCACATACTGTGTTACTAATTTTAAACGTAGTCGGATCCTTGCTGGCCAGATATCCTGTTGTAGCAACGTATAGGGGAGGTAACTGTAAAATATATAAAAAATAAAATATAATTGCTTCGTTCCCCTGCAAATTTTAGCAAATATTAAATTAAAGCACAAACAATTGAGCAAACTGAAATATATCTATGTGAGATAGAAGGATTGGATGCAGAGGCGTAGCGACCCCTCCCGGCGCCCGGGGCGAACTTTCAGTTTGGCGCCCCCCATATATATATATATATATATATATATATATATATATATATATATATATATATATATATATATATATATATATATATATATATATATGCGTGTGTGTGTGTTTGTGTGTGCGAAAATCTGGAAAAAAATTAACAATTACGCTGATTGTCGTTCCCTAAAACTTCACTGGACGCCAATCAAATTCCCCTTAAGATGCCGAAACGAATAAAAAGTAGAAATTCATTAGAGCTTAAAACAGTGGGCTCCATCGAACCCGAGAGGTTCGGTAATTCAGTCTCAGGGCTTCCGCGGAGGTCAAGACAGACACCCGACTCATATGATTCACGATCGGATTTTGCCAGTGTGGACGATACAACTATTAATAAGGAGGGTTCGGTGATTTCGCATATGAAACTGGTGGGGTTCGGTACTCCAAAAAGTTAAGCACCACTGCTTTAGAGTGTATTTTGTAGAAGGTGCAAGCCTTATTTGGTCTACTTTTGGTCGTGTCTTTAGATCAATTTCGATAATAGTAGGCCAATATTGCAATTTTGAATTATCAGTTATGTTGAACAAAGTAATAATCAGTACAATATACTAATTTTCTTCTCTCTTAAAATTTTGGCAAAGAGTGTCGCTTCCCATCCACCCGCTCCGACAGTCTGCTATTTTACTGATCGGATAGCGATACAAGAATCCGTTATATTTATTTTTCTTTAATGCAGTGATCCAGGCAAGATGTAATGCAATCAAGTAAAAGTATCTGATCTCTTACGATCAAGTTAGGAGAATCGTAAGAATCGCACAAAGAACTAGTCGCGTTGTTACTTAGCAAAACTGGGTAGTGAAATCGTACATTAAGTGTTAATACAATTGATTTCTTTTTTAAATGTTAAAATAGTTATTTAGTAACTCTTTTTTATGTTACACAATCGTAAAATACGCTTTAGTTCAATTGGTTTCTTTTCTGAGTGATATCGTTTATTTATTCCTTAATCCGGTGTGAATTTTTCCGATTTTAGTCTTCGAAAAAGCGCCCCCCCCCCCTCCCCATCTGGGAAAGCTGGAAAGCAGTTTTTCCGGTCACTGTTTCTTAAAGATAAAGTTTTACAGTTACACAATCAAGGTAGAAAACAGTTAAATCAGTATGCAAAGGCTCTCAGCAGTTACATTTCTTTACTTTGACTGTTTATAACTCAAAACTGCAGCTTGAAATGAGCTTTTAATATTTTTTCTACCCCTTTTGGCGCCCCCCTAGGGTCGGCGCCCGGGGCGGCCGCCCTCCCCGCCCTCCCCTAGCTACGCCTCTGATTGGATGTATCTTATATAATCAGTGTTTCTTCCAGACTTTTTTCTCCGGGGGGGGGGGCACTTGAAATTTTCGGGGAGGTGGGGGGGGCGGTAGACTTTCTTCGGGGGGGGGGGGGGCGGACACTGTTAAAAGCATATATTTTCTATATAAATTATAAAAATATCATTTCGTTCGGGGGGGGGGGGCGGTAAAAAATTTTCGGGGGGGCTTAGCCCCCCCCGAAGAGATGCCTGGAAGAAACTCTGTATATAATCTATCGACCAAACGGGTATCCCGTAATATACTAATACAAATATATATATACATATATATATATAGAGAGAGAGGGGGGTCTTTTATCAAAGCATGCACGTAGATCTACATATCAGCATATAAATATATGTCTATGGCCATCAGTGGCGTAGCCAGGATCGTCTCAAGGGGGGGTTCCAATTTTTACCCGGGGACAAACTTTCGATTTGCACCCCCCCCCCCCCTCAAACTTTCGATTTGCACCCCCCCCCCCTCAGACTTTCGATTTGCACCCCCCCCCCCCCCCTCAAACTTTCGATTTGCACCCCCCCCCCCTCAAACTTAACTTTAGATTTGCACCCCCCCCCTCATACTTTTTATATATACCGAGGGGTCTATGGGGGGGGGTTATGACCCCCCCCCTAACCCCCCCCCCTGCCTACGCCACTGATGGCCATATAGGACTAACTAAGGTAAATTAATATATTTGCCATGATCAGAAGTCAGAAGGGAGTGGCAATTTTTTTTCCCCTTCGAAATAGATTACATATAGATTGCAGCGCCACCTTCCTATCTTCTTTTTTTCCATTAGGTCAACAAGAAATTCCCCCGAGTGCTATTTATAATTATTGCGCTATTCTTAATTTTGGAAAATCCCTTCGGAAACCAGGTCACGGGTTGCGTGTATCAGTGTCTATTGGTTTTATTTATGTATGTGTGTGTGTGTTCTTCACACATTTTACATTGTTATTAGGAGATAGCAGCCTTTCAATGTATCTTCTGTTAGAAACCATCTAGAATTTTATAATCTAACAGTCGATTTATTAAAATGAATTACGTGCATTTGTAGCTTTATTGTTTGTTTGATAGGAAAGTAAATAAACGAATTGATTGGAAAATCATCAAACTTTTGCAGTGTGTCTTTAAAATTTTGGATAAATTAAATGAAGTCATGGAAAAGTTTCCTAAGCAGTTAAGTCAGGTGTTGTAAAGTCAGATGTCGTAAGGTCAGATGCTATAAAGTCAAGTGCTGTAAAGTGCTGTAAGCATTGAACTCACATAATGTGTGCGTTTAAGGATGAACGCAGAAATCTTGAAGAAGGGTGAGTACATGTTTGTTCGTTTCACTGACCCTTGTGTGTGTGTCTTGACACATCGTGTGTCCGCCTGAGTTCGGCGACACCTGGTGTGTCAGTCAGTGTGTCCCAACACCTAGTGTGTCCGCCAGTATGTCCCAACACCTGGTGTGTCCGTGTCCCAACACCTGGTGTGTCAGTCAGTGTGTCCCAACACCTGGTGTGTCCGCCAGTGTGTCCCAACACCTGGTGCGTCCGTGTCCCAACACCTGGTGTGTCCGCCAGTGTGTCCCAACACCTGGTGTGTCCGCCAGTGTGTCCCAACACCTGGTGCGTCCGTGTCCCAACACCTGTTGTGTCCGTGTCACAACACCTGTTGTGTCCGCCAGTGTGCCCCAACACCTAGTGTGTCCGTCAGTGTGTCCCAACACCTGGTGTGTCCGTGTCCCAACACCTGGTGTGTCCGCCGGTGTGCCCCAACACCTAGTGTGTCCGTCAGTGTGTCCCAACACCTGGTGTGTCCGTGTCCCAACACCTGGTGTGTCCGCCAGTATGTCCCAACACCTGGTGTGTCCGTGTCCCAACACCTGGTGTGTCCGTCAGTGTGTCCCAACACCTGGTGTGTCCGTGTCCCAACACCTGGTGTGTCCGCCAGTATGTCCCAACACCTGGTGTGTCCGTGTCCCAACACCTGGTGTGTCCGCCAGTGTGTCCCAACACCTGGTGTGTCCGCCAGTGTGTCCCAACACCTGGTGTGTCCGTGTCCCAACACCTGGTGTGTCCGTCAGTGTGTCCCAACACCTGGTGTGTCCGTGTCCCAACACCTGGTGTGTCCGTGTCCCAACACCTGGTGTGTCCGCCAATGTGTCCCAACACCTGGTGTGTCCGCCAGTGTGTCCCAACACCTGGTGTGTCCGCCAGTATGTCCCAACACCTGGTGTGTCCGTGTCCCAACACCTGGTGTGTCCGTGTCCCAACACCTGGTGTGTCCGCCAGTGTGTCCCAACACCTGGTGTGTCCGCCAGTGTGTCCCAACACCTGGTGTGTCCGTGTCCCAACACCTGGTGTGTCAGTCAGTGTGTCCCAACACCTGGTGTGTCCGCCAGTGTATCCCAAACACCTGGTGTGTCCGCCAGTGTGTCCCAACACCTGGTGTGTTCGTGTCCCAACACCTGGTGTGTCCGTGTCCCAACACCTGGTGTGTCAGTCAGTGTGTCCCAACACCTGGTGTGTCCGCCAGTGTGTCCCAACACCTGGTGTGTCCGTGTCCCAACACCTGGTGTGTCCGTGTCCCAACACCTGGTGTGTCCGCCAGTGTGTCCCAACACCTGGTGTGTCCGTGTCCCAACACCTGGTGTGTCCGTGTCCCAACACCTGGTGTGTCCGTGTCCCAACACCTGGTGTGTCCGTGTCCCAACACCTGGTGTGTCCGCCCCAACGACCATGTTGTATGTGGACACAAGACTGATGTAAAATTTTTATAAACAATCGTCTAGAAACGACGGCACACTTTTAGCACTCACCGGTCATTAGTGATAGGGCGCCGTGGCTAGGTGGTAGAGCGCACGGCTGTTAACCCGATTGTCGAGTTGGATTGTAAGTAGGCTCGACAGTCCTAAACTTTGCCTAAAACTGAGATAGGTTTAGCAAGTTTAGCACAATAATGGGCTTGGTTTAACAAGTTTAGCATAAAAGTGGGCTAGGTTTAACACTCATAAACTTAACACAAAAGTGGGCTATGTATAACACGTTTAACACAAAACTGGGCTTGGTTACACAGTTAAACACCACAAGCCCTAAATAGATCAATGACACATTAAACCTTGCCCTAAGATAAGATTTATTTTGATGGCAATTTTCAAATCCTAATTAACTATCTTCTTTCAAAATGTATTAAAAGTATTTCAACCATCGTGTTTGACTTAGGAAACGAAACACCTCC